TGCTGACCTTGTGCCTTCCCCAGCTGCTGCGGGGCCAGGGATGAAGCCCACATCGTCTCGGGTCTTTCTGAAAGCTGCCCTGTGTCTTGGGATGGGGCGAGTGCGTAAAGGGGGCATGGTTGACCTGTGGCAATGCGAGTTACGTACCATAAGGATCTTTTTTTTATTTTCCTTTTTTTTTCTTATTTTCTCTGTTTAAACCACTGGATCCTTCTCCGAGTGGTGGGTTTGGTTTGGGGCATGTGTTTGGGAGGAGTGTTTGCAACATGCAGCTACCTGAGATGCAGCCAGCTGACGGTTTTGCAGACGGGGAGCTGGGACAGCGGTTGGGGACCGTGGGCAGCTGCCATCCCCTGCCACGGCTGCTGAGCATCACGTTCCCTTCAACCCTGCCAGAGCAGTGCTGGCTGCTGGCCCCTTCGTGCGGCTGGGGTGGTCTCATAGCGCCTGAGCTGTGTTTTTTCCCAGCAGCACCATTTAAACATGAGTTGCCCGAGCTCTCTGGAGCCTTCTGCGTGCCCATTCTCACGCCAAAACTGGAGCTGGCACGTTGTTATGGCAGCTGCCCAAACCAGCCATCTTTCCCCCAAGGTTGGGGCAGACCTGAAGGACGTGGCTCTCGGGGAGCCAGCGGGTCTTTCTCCCTTGGGGGGGACCCGTGATACCGGAGAGAGCACGTTGGTTCATGCCAAATATACTTGAAAGCAGAGCTGGAGTTCCTCATGCATGAGACTCCGACTCGACGCACAGAAACCCCGTGCAGGTAGTTGGCCTGTTTGCTCCCGCCGAGCTCAGGACCGGGAGACGGTTCTCCATCGCCCGGCGGATCAGCCAGTTCAATGTCTAAGCCCTTCTGTGGCCAGCTAAGATCCACAGAGCTTTTATTTTTAAATGCACATCTATAAAACCGAGGCCGATGAGGAGCACTGCAATAAACACGAGTTTATTGGCGTCCAGCTTCCTAGAAACAGAGCTTGGGGTTTGCAGTTTCCCCCCGCAGCTCTGCCCTCTGCGTGGGGATGGGGGATGTCTGCCTGTGGGCTTGGGCAAGTCCCCACATCCAAAAACCTGAAACCAGCCCCTGGCAGTGCCATTACCCTGTTAGACAGGGTCCCTGTGGGCAGAAATAAATCTGAGGGGTGGTTTTAGGGAGCAGTCGGCTTCCTGAAGGTCTTTTATAATAAATAAAGCTGTAAAGTGTGTCTCCTGTTGGGCTACAGAGCAGAAGCTATAAAAGGGGCTGAAGTGGTCATGGGCTGGCTCTCATTGGGGTTTTGTGCCTTGTCCGTCGCTGCCAGCCGCTCCATATCCACGCACATCCACAGGCTTCCCCTGCCCACCGTGGGACCATGCCATGGGGGACCGCTGCTCCTGACCAGCACTTGCACACTGTAAGCAATGCCGTAGCCCTGCCAGACACGCAGGATCCAAGGCGGGGAGGGAGGAGTGCAGGATCAGCCTGGCAGGGCTGGGAAAATCCCCGTTTCTGGATCAGGCTCTGGGGAGGGATGCTCCAGTGGCCTGTCCCGGGCTCTCCTTGCCCTGAGCACAGTAGTGGGGATCAGCACAGAGGAAACAAACATTGGTGCTGGGACAAAGCATGGGAGTTGTTTTTTTCCCCTGATGTTCAGTGCAGCACTAGCTCGCTACCACGTGCTGCTCTGAAGACAGCTTGATTTGTCTCTTCCAGCTCATGAGATGGTTACAAGCACTCAGAGGTTAAATTCACCCAGTCACTCGTCAGCCCAGTCCTGCCACAGCTCAGCCCCTGCCTAGATGCTACAGCAAGGGAAAACGTGGTCCATGCCATAGCTTGTACCCAAGTTTTGGGGCCTGAGTCATGCTCAGCTGGAGCTGGATAATGCAAGATCTGACTCTGCTCGTCCTGATACCGGGGTCCCGAGTGTCCTGCGGGAGGCAGTGACCTGCCCCAGTGCACCGTGAGACAGCAGGAAGGACGGGGCATTTGCACCGGGATTGGGATGCGTGATCCTCACACTGGTGTGACTCCAGGACGTGACAAGGAGTGCGAGCAGGATCACATCCATGAGCTGGAGGTGCCATCCTGCTGGAGCCAGGACACCCAGGGGCTCCTGGTTGGCATGGAGACCGGAGCAATTTGGCTGCCAGCTTTGGCCCAGCCTGCACTGGGTCTGCGTCCGCTGAGGTGCTGCTGTGGGGTCCGTAAGGCTGCCCTGGGGCTGGTCTGGGCAACAAGCACCTCTCTGCCCCAGCTGCCTCTTTCCCCACCACCTTTGCCCCGCGCTGGAGGTGCCAGCTCCACTTCTTTCACCGGCATGGGGACAGAGGCAGCGGGTTTGACACCAGCCCTGCCCTGAGCTGGGGCTGCAACGGCAGTGGCACTGGGACCAGGGCCGCATGTTTCCTGGTAAAAGATAGAGCAAGATGGAGGGACCGCATCCTCACCACAGAGGATGGAGGGAGCAAGATGGAGGGAGCATCACAAACCACCAGCACGCAGCTGACCTGCAGGTCTGCAGCTGTATCTGCTCCTCCATGCTCACCTGCGTGCCTTTTT